GAGCCCCTAGTAGCGTTCTTGCTCCTAGTAGCGATGCCAGGAGCCCCCTCTCCTAGTAGCTTCTTGTTACTAGTAGCGATGCCCTTGTTACTAGTAGCTTCTAGCTACTAGTAGTAAGGCCAGGAGCCCCTAGTAGCGTTCTTGCTCCTAGTAGCCATGCCAGGAGCCCCTCGATCAATATATGATCTCTACATTCCTTACCCCTTCTTCCTGATTCAAGTCCCGTGCAAATGGCAAGTGATGGTCCGCACGCATGCTGGGCTATCCTGACAGACAGGAACTGGTGTTGCTTTTGTTCGTAAATTATTGCTTCTCCACCTCAAGCGCTCAACTTCACAGGGGCCATATCCCTGGAGCAAAAACCACAGAAGTGGGCTCAATGATCTCAATGTGCACTCTCAGACAGTAGTTCATGCACCCCACTCGGCTGCCATCGCTCAGAACACCATCGACAAGGTGAAGTTCGTTCCAGGACCATGCCAAACACGGATGACCGGATTTGTTGGGACAGCTGGCAACGAGCCGTCTGACGGAAGCCATGAGTGACACATGAGACATCATGAGACCCAGACCGTTGTGAGGCAAGACATGATTGCGCCTTGCACAACCGGCGGATTGGTCAAGTTGCCGCAAAGCTTGGTTTGCTGCATGTGGTTCAGTCGCACCCTTCTGACATCATCCATTGACTTGTTTTGGCCGCCTATGTTGCTGTTAGAATGGTGTCATGGGGAAGATAGCACAAAGCCAAGATTTACTTTCGATGCGAGAAGCTCGCAGCTTTGAACTTCGAAGTCTGTGCTGCTAGGCATGCCTCGCAACTTCACAGAGGAAGAAGTAGGCATGTGTAAGAATGTTGACATGTTTGGTGTCCGAAGATTTTTGGATGGCCTTAACTCTTTATGGATGGCGGATGTGTTGCAAGGTTTCTTTGATGTCAGGAGCAAAAAACCCTGAGAAACCGGAGTTCATTGACCGCTTTCTTTTCTGGCGGCGATGCGCATTGCGAGCCCCTTGGTAATTCCAGCAGCTTCCAGCGCATGGCCCGCATAACGGAACATGCTGTCCATGAATCGTGTCCTCAAAGTGAAGATCCTTTTTCGATGCCGCTCTTAGCCGCTCTTGTTCTGTTGAAAGTAGTGAGTTGGGAGTCCTCACCATGGACATTTCAGCGATTTCAGTCCACTTGGCTAGGTGCACACTAACTGATGAACAGAAAGGAGATGAAACAAGAACAATAACGCTGAGGAATATTAGGTGCATGATAGTATCATGGTGATGAGGGTTTCATTTTGGCCCACACCTATTTTAGTTTTGCTCAGGAGGGATGTTTGGGGAAGGACACGCCGCACGCCGAAACCAAAACCGGGTCGCCGTAGTCTGAAAACTGAAAGCTAAGTTTGCATGAACCAGCAGTTTCGCTGAAACTTGACCTTCACTATCCTTCACTCAAGTAGGTGCTTGGTGTTGATCGAGGTCGGTGTTTGGGCCTCTTTGATTTGGCTGTTTCTGAGCCTCAACGAGTTTCAACAGGCAACTTGGCGCTATAATATGCCAAGGCTAAGGCTCAATATGTCAATATGTTTCGTCAGGTAGGTTGGTGCCAATATATGATAGATTCTTGGAACATGGACAAGCAAACTTGAATCCAGGCTGCTTGAACGCAGGACACACCTCAATGGCATGTTGTTGTTCGCCTTGCAAGCATGAAATACATTGCATCATACACGAGAAACCATTTTGATCACTATAGGACTGTAGCAAATTGATCAGCTTGATATGCATCCAAGTGTCCAAGTTGGACACCTATTCTTGCATTTTAGCAGGACCATGGCGTTACCGTCGTGTAAGGTCATAGCTAATGATATGTATTGATATGCTACGAGCTACGATTCAATATGATTTCTAGCCACTATTTCAGCAGACCGTCTCACCAGAAGATGACACAATTGGAATGAGCGTGCAATGTGCCACCAGGCATGGAGAGACGTGAGGGGCAAACTGCAGCAATTTCCTATGATGGTCCGAGTGTACTTTGAGTGCCTCGATTGCATTGTGTGGGCACCTGATGAGCGTCCAAAGGAGAATGCTTCGTCACAGTACGAGAGTCCGGGAACAAAAGGGTGTGTGTGTGTGTGCGTGCGTGTGTTTGATAAATCTTGAGCGTTTGCTCTTTTTGTCACTTCGAAGAAGTGCCAGGCGATTCATATATGCGGAGCTGTTTGCCCAGACTCTGTCAGAGATGGCTGCAGACCCGACCTTAGTTGCCATAGTAGTAGGGGCAACAATGCCAACACTGTGAAGCCTTCCAATGCGCTGCACTTGGGACTCGGCTCCGATGCCTGAGGTGGTGGCTGTTTTCGTTTTCATGCGAGCCTGGAAAGAGCAGGATAACTTCGAGCGAAGCTCTGATCTCACCCGTCTTGGCCGCTGGACCCTCCTTGGTTTGATTTTGATCAATTCCTTCGTGGTTTGGCATGATGTATTTATTTAGCCTTAGATTTTCCTCAAAGGCTGGTTCTTCAACACAATGGGCCCCTTCTTGCCGTACCTCCTGATTCCGCTCTCCTTTTTCTTCCGCATCGACTACTTCCAGCGAGATGTGTGCTGGTCTTAGCCGCCAATGTCCACAAGCATTGCGGTGCCCGGCAAGCTACTAGTAGCTTCTTGCACCTTGTTACTAGTAGCTTCTTGTTACTAGTTACTAGTAGTAATGCACTTAGCTACTGGTAGCTTCTTGCTACTAAGCGGCAAATATGTGCATCTAGAACCTTCAACTCGACTAATGGAGTTTCTCGAAGCAACACCTGAAAGCGGTCCTGGATCATTGAAAGCTGCCTGCGAAGTGGAGAGCAAACTAGCCTCTCTCTTTGGGAACGATGCAACTATGTATGGAGAAGGGCATTCCACCCTGTGCTTGTGTTTGGGTCCAAATAATATCAAATAATATACTGTTTCCACTATATAGCTATTCAAGAATAAGATGCAACAACTCAAAACTTGCAGGGCTGGAGCCGACCATTTTGTAAACTTACATGTTTTCGCTCAGGTTGGTTTTGCATTTGTAGTGCACCTGTGGCCACGGATTGCAAGCTTAGATTGCTCCCCATTACGCGTGTGGCTTCGATAGTGGACGTTTAGTCTTGATTTCCGGATTTTTCTGTTCAGTCCGCGATAAACAGCAACTCTGACGCCTCCGGAGACAACTGAAGCTCTGCACAGCTTCTCCATGTTTCTGTCCTCGAGGAAGCTGCACAGTTTCTCTCCAGATTTCTCAACCTTCCCTCCTTCCATCTCCTGAGAGCGCCCGTTGTGCTCTCAATTCTATGCAAGGAGTTCCCACGTTCGCATGAATATGGCTGGCCTCCGTTTTGGCCGCGCTGCACAATACTTTCTACATCTGATATCTCATGCCTCCATTTACGCCACAAATGCCGCCGCTCAAATGTGTAACCTGCATCGGGCGCTTTGGGTGCCATGCAGTGCCAAGATATCTTCGCAACGCGTGGCTCGGAGTGGCGGCTTGCGTCGGAAGTAACTTCCGTCGGCTTTGCTGCACACACTTTCTACGCATGCGCGTCGGAGGCAGAGAGCGTTTCGTAACTTGCATCGGGCTCCATTGTGGGGGGCCGTGCAGCGCAAGTTTCGTACATCGCCAAGATGCGTCGAAGGTGGCCAGGAATTCATTCCACAATGCGGTGCTGCACAAATATTTTCTGGACTGTAGCATGCATTCTTTTATACGGTGCTAGAGTCACTATATAGATATTTGGTTTGGCATTTTATAGAATCAAAAGGCTGTGAGACATGTGACAATGTGGATCTCCAAAACTTGTTGACATGTACAATGTACGGCTGCGTTCGCATGTGGAAAGAACTTGTTTGAAAAAGCATGCGCGCAGCATTTAAAGTGTGTGAAGCAACATGTGTGGAAGGGTTCTGACCTAGAATTGCGTTTTAGAATTTTAGAACGCATTTTTCAATATTTCAATATTGCTGCCTATGTGCAGCAAAGGCAGAATCCTGCACCCCCGCAACCTTCCTTGCACAGGCTTCTACAATGACCGGACCAGATTGTTGGATGTTGTACGTGTCTATTTTAATTACAGTACATCATTTGAGCACGTTTCTTCCACTACTTGGGCCTTAACAAGGGTGGGGAGGGGGGTCAAGCTTTGCAGCAGCTTCCCGAAAGCAAACACTTCCACCTTCAGCTGCTCCAAACTGTAGTGCCAACAGTGCAAGCCATGTTGTACCAGGTAGGTTCTAGATTCTAGTAAATGCCCAATCCTGGTCTCCCCACACTACCAACCCCTAGCACCACGAATAGAGCACTTTTGCAATGGAAAGCACCAGGCAGACCAGCCAGGAGTGAGAGCCCACTGCTGGGGAGGCAAAGAAGGCGTTCTATCTTTAGCCTTTCACCTTACTGAGATCTCTTGTTTCGGCTTTTGCGATTTGGTTTTTATCATTTGCAAAGGCTGCACCACCTCTAACTAGAGTGCCACCCGGTTTTGCATTTTAATAAACACTACCCTCGCCAGTCATTTGACTGAGATTCTATTTGTTGCCACCCATTCTCTGCAGAATGCTCGGCTCGGCAATTGATCCCCACCATCATTCATAGGGCCAGTATGTGACGTGCTTTGGACTCTGTTTTGGGGGCCGCGCTGCGCAAGTCTTCTATTCCAGCCTCAAGCGCTTTTCTCTTTGGCTTTGGATAACAGGCACCATGTTTGCAGCATCCCCTGTACCACACCTTTGGTGAATCCCCACACGTGCCACTGCACATGGACGCCAAGAGAAGTGCAACGCCCAAGCCGCGCTGACAGCAGCGGCGAAATCTGACACCCAACAAACTGTCGACTTTACGCGAGGAGAGGGTGAGAGAAGCTGGTTTGACATGTTGTATAGGGGGGATTGCCCCCCCCCGGCACACATGGAACCCCGGCCTCCCCTTTTGTAGAGAGAGAGAGACATTAGTCGCCGTTAAAGAAAAAGCGACCTACTTTCTATCGCAGAACCAACGGGGGTTATACATGGTTTTGTCGGTTTTTTGGCCGGGTCCCCCATATTGAGCTGCCACCCCCTAGCATATTCCAAAGGAATTGTGTTTGGGTATTTGCATTTCATGCATGCTTCATGCTGGCAAATGTCGAGCGCAGGATGGACGTTTGTGTTATAGAAATGTTGAGAGATATAGAATTGAACGCTATCTAATAGGCCAGTTTCATGCAGAGTTCCTGAGGTGCGCCTCGATCATTGGCATGCTGGCACACGACCCCATCAGCAGCCTGGTCTTTTCCGAAGCCGCAAGCCAAGCAAGTGAGCTGCTGGCCTGCAGGTTGTGGGGACAGTTGAGGCTCGGATCGCGTGGAATCCGGTTGGTTCAGCGCCAAGTAGCTTTTGTTGGAAGATGTTGGTCAAATGTTCAGTGTTCCATTCGATTTGTTTAAGGATTTGGTTGCGTCATACGATCTAGCCTTTTGGGCAAGTGAAGGGGCAATTTGCCCTCGCAACAAAAAGGCGTCATGTTGATTAAGTGTGGTTCAGTGTAAGATCTAAGGTGCAGAAATCGGAGATCTCATGAGATCTCAAGATTGAGGCAACCTCAAAATTATCATCAATTACTTTAGTAAGGGACGTTTCATCTCTGTGTTGCTTTTGTGATTTTCCTTGAAAAACGATAGGGGACTGATAAAAAACGATATCCCTATGTATACATACATGACGGTCTCTAACAGAACAACGCCAGTCTAGTACACGTCTTCAGCATGTGTGTTCATTGTGTGGCGAAGCTTTTTTGAGCTTAAAGGGGGGGGGTGACGCACGCCATGTGGCGGGTTGAGCAGCGTGAGCTGATCAGCAGTGATCGCAAGTACTGCTTCTTGCCTGCAGACATTGAAATTCTTTGGATGCTTTGACAGAACCATCATGAGACAATGAAAAAGCCATCATTAAACAAGTACCGAGAACGGACTTAGCAACCATGGCTGTCAGCTATCCGATGAAACAAACTCCTTTTTGACCCCAGGGGTCTACATTAAGACAGATGAGAAGGGCAAGACCAAGCAATACAAAAGTAAGAAGCAGGCCAAAGAGCATGGCTTTTCAGAGGAAACTCGGCTCAATTCTGTTTTCCTATCTTTGAGCATCTTTCTGTTGGCTCGGCCCATATGTAGACTTCGTCCAGCGCTTTCTCCACTGAAGGATGCTGTGACGCCGAAGCCTGAGAGCATTGTGGGCAATGCGTGTGGGTCAGACACTGTGGGCAAAGCAGAAGACCTTTTGAAGATGGGGCAGGGGAACGGTGATCAGCAGCTTTCTAGCTTTGGTCAGTCAGGCAAGGTCCGAAAAAATTGTCGTGTCATTCCAGAGATTATTGTTGGACACCCCTTACTTTTTGCATTCCAGAGGCTATACTGGCTGCCTAGAGACACCCATCACCTGACTTCTTTTTCTTTTCATGTGCATGCTGTGCACGTTCGGAAGTGAAACTGAAGGTGACGCAGTACAATCTGACATGAATGAGCCCAAGACAGCTGATGCCAAGCAAGACCTGCGAGCGGAACATGAAAATGAAGGCATGGCTTCTGCTTTGGCAAGCCTGTTGTAGCATTTTTTGAGGGCATTGAACGTTTCTCAAGGTTTTGCCTAATTGATAGAGCCTGTCCTGCACCCCTGTTTGCTTCATGTCCACCTCCCTTCCCTGCAGTTCCCTGCAGGCCCAGCAGCAGATGTCGTGGAAGCGTGTGGAGTGGCAGAGACTGAGATGTTAGACGGAAACGGTGCAGTTGGCAACGCCGGCAAAGTCAGTGAGAGCATTGACATTGTGCCAGAAGTTGTTCCCAGTACACCGGCCAAAAAAGCGGCCCCTGGATTCTGCCATTTCCGCAGAGAAAGGCTTACCCCTCAGCCCTGGGACCTTTGAGAAGTTGAAGTTGGCAAGAGCAACACTTGGCTCCAATAAAGGGAACCCAAGTGGACATCTTCATAGCACATCTCACGAGTATTCCTTCTGTTCCCGCCGCAAGCATAGCTGCGGATGGGGCTACCGTTGGAATATGAAGACCAGAGTGGTCAGTGGGAGCTTGTGTGATTCATGCATGCAGGCGTGTCATAAGCTCGGAACGGGCAAGTGCATTGCGGCTTGCAAAGCAACGCCACTGGTTCTAGATGCCATTGTCAAGAAATCTCGTGAGATTTCCACTCTTAAGACCTCTGATGTTTGCTTGTGCGGGGTGTGCGAAGACAAGCCTCCTCCTCGTCGGTTGCGTCAGAAGACGCGCATTCCAGATGTTGACTAGGGTCAGTTGGACCTTGTGAAATCCTGATGGCACAATGTGCCGCCTGCGGGGGAGCTGGCAGCAAACATGTGGACAGGTGAAAAACATTGCCGACGGCCTTGCTCGATCTTATCGTATCGAATGACCAACCTGCCATAGAACCCCATAATATGAGATATCATGGTATAGACAGAGTAATTACTCCTTTTAAACAATAGTTCTTCACTCGGAACTTGCCTATATATATGGTTTACCCTACGGTACTCACTGGTTTGCCCAACGAAGAGTGCTATGCCATGGCTGAGCTAGTATATTGTTGGCTTGCCCAACAGGAGTGCAATGCTATTGCTTACCTAGACTGCGGTAGTGGTTTGCCCAACGAAGAGGGCTATGCCA